TTGTTATATATAATAAGAGATCAGTTCTTTTAAGGTTTTCATAGAATTTCTCTGGGTTTCTACCTATTCCTTGAGTTGAAAGTGTCTTGACATTTTCTTTTCTTTTTTTTTTTTGGTACTGGGGATCAAACTCGGGACCTTGCGCTCGTGATTGACATTTTCTATTCTTACTGAAATATTCTTTTCTTCTCCAGTACTAATAGAAATCATTTCATCTTTGGCCATTTTTACTATCATTCTAGGCAAGTACTGCAATTCTCAAAGCCTTGGCGTTTTCAGGCCCTTCATCCCAAAAAACACAGATTGTATTTTCAGGACTCATGATGCTATCCCATGCTGTGATAATAGTTTTATTTGTTGACCTGGCTAGGTCATAATTCCCAATTATTCACTCAAACCCTAATTAACATGTACAGTAGTGTGAGTTTACAATAAAAGAGTTGGGCTTGGTAGCCCAGGCCAGCAGTCCCAGCTACTCCAGAGGCTGAGGCAAGAGGATCACTGAGCTCATGAGACCTGACTGGGCAATACAGTGAGACATCATCTCAATAAAACAATTTTAAAATGTATTAAATAAAGGAGATTATCAATCATTATCTGGGTAGACTTTATCCAAGTGTTGTGTGGGCTTAAAAGCAAGATGGAGGTTTCCTGAGGAAGGAGAAATTCTACCTATGGCTTACAGTTTCAGCCTTTGCCTGAGTTTCTAGCCTGAAAGGCTACTCTAGGATTTCAGACTTGCCTAGCCAGGCCCCATGAAAGTGTAAGGTGACCATTCCTTGCAATAAATTTTTGTATGTGTGTGCACATACAGCTATTTCATGTCATGCATATATACAGACACTCCTTTGATTTACCTCCCAGCAAACCCATTGAATGTTGAAAATATAAGTGAAAAATGCATTTAACACCTATCATCTTACATATCTCTGGCTCAGGAAAAGATCAAAATTTAAAATTTCACATGTAGTTTCTACTGTATGGGTATAGCTTTCACACCATTGTGAAGTTGAAAAACTGTAAGTATCTATATGTGTGTATATAGATTATACACATATATATATACACATATAGCAGATCCAGAAACACAGATAGAATATATATTATATGGCACCGTTACTCTGATAAGAACCCTGACTGATACATGTGTCATGGATTCAGACTAGCTACAGAATTTGCTAGGCCCAGTACAGAAAGAAAATGTGGGACCAGTTTTTTAAAAGGCAGGATAAAGTATTAGAGGTGCTAAAATATTAAGCTTTTACCTCACACCAATTATGTTTAGGTTTGTATCCCAAATATCTGAGACATTAGGCACGCCATTGTAGAGAAGGGAAAAATGATCTCCCTCCCCGCTTCTATGTTGCTCAGGTGATGTGTGAATTAAATATAAGTAGAGCAGATTAACAGAACGACAACCACCCAGGCTGACCTCGAGTTCTTGGGGTCAAGAGATTCTCCTGTCTCAGCCTCCTGAGTAGCTACACTACTGTGCCCAATGCCAACAGAGAAACAATTTTATATACATATGCACAAGCCCTTGGGAATTCTCCAAAATGAGACTTTAAAAAGGGTCAGAAGATTGAAACTTGTGAAGTATCCTGACCTATAAAAAGGACTTGGAAGTTTTGAGGGGGAGTGGACACAAATGAAGGGAGGGCAAGGGGATAAAATTTGTCTTGTTAGGCAGACTCTCCGGTGGTAAAAGATGTCTGGAAATAACTATCTTCCTGATACATAAGCCTTTATTAATGAAAATTTCCTTTATAAATGTAAATTTCTCTCTTCTAAAGAGTTATTTCATACTTTATTTTAGGCAGTGTGAGGGAGGTGAAGAGTTTTTTGGGGGGGAGGTGTTGGCTGATTCTAAATTTCTTTTAGCTCAAAGTCATCAATGTGTGAGAGGGGCTTTTTTTTTTTTTTTGGTACGGGGATCGAACTCGGATGAGAGGGGTATATTTTAGCGTGGCACATTCTGGTTTCCTACAGTCGTATTTTGGGGTGGTGTCCTGAGCCCCAACACCATAATGAATCAATATTCATTTCAACTATGGGGACTTTCTTCAACATTCTAGGAGATCCTCACCATTATGAATACTGGAAAAAACCTTCACAATACAACCAATATGATTTTTTTTAAACGTTGCATTTTCAGGCCCTTTAATTTTCCTCAGACAGATGGCTAAAAAAAAGGGTTGGCTATGGAAACCGCATATGCTAGGAGAAAATCGACTAGAGCGCCAAAAAAAGGATGATTGGTTGCTGGGGCTCTGAAGTTACATGTTCGCCTCAGAACAACGCCAAGAGAACTAGGAAACCGCTGAATGTTCAGGTTTTGAAATATGGTTTTTTGCATCGTAAAGAAAAAAGATTAACCTATCAGGAAGAACCGAGAACATTCAATTACCAATCAAGAGCGGGAACGCAGCCAAAGCCTGGGGAAACCCACGCACCAAAGTGGACGTCACTCTTCAGGTTCCGCCAATGAGCGGCGAGGCGGTGGGAGGGGGCGATGGGCGGACCAATTGCCGTAGAAAACAAACAAAATGCAGTACTACAGTTTCAACCACAATCCTCGCTTCCTAAGTCTCAGAAACAAACTCCTGGGCAAGGCGATTATTAGCTGCTTTCCATCCTGCTTCTCGTCAAGGGACAGTTAGAGCGGGAGTACCTTCTTCTCAGCAGAGCAAGAGCCTTCTGGTCCCCAGCTCCAACGGGTTCGCAGAAAGCTCTCTGCAACTTTGCGCTCTCCACCTTCACAAGACTCGGGGGCCCAGTGCTGAAGGCGGGGCGGGGCGGGGCCGGGCAGCAGTGCGCATGCGTGCATGCCTTCAGGAGGCGAAGTTGCAGGGGCCCAAGAACACTGGGAGCTGTATTTCCCGGGCGTGGGAAACATCCCTCACTCCTCTGCCTTTTGGACTACATTTCCCAGGATGCCCTGCGACCTCGGGGTAGGCTGGCTGGTTTGTTAATGAGTTCGAGGAAGCCGCGGCGCGGCCCACCAGGTTCCAAAACAAGGAAATGAAGGGGGGAGGCGGGACTGGAGGTGCCTGCGGGAGCCGCCGCCGCCGCCGCCGCCGCGGAGGAGGAGGCGGAGGAGGTGGAGGAGGTGGTTGCCCGGGCCGGCGAGGAGTCCCTTGCTGAAGGCGGACCGCGGAGCAGCGGGCGGCACGCGCGCGTCTGAGGCGGCTGTTGGAGAAGTAGAGCGACAGTCACGGGGGGAGGAGGAGGAGGGATTGAGCGGCGGCGGCCCCCGCGTCCCGGTGCTTCTATGGGGGAAGCAGACAATGGATTATGATTTCAAGGCGAAGCTGGCGGCGGAGCGGGAGCGGGTGGAGGATTTGTTTGAGTACGAAGGGTGCAAAGTGGGGCGCGGCACCTACGGGCACGTCTACAAGGCGAGGCGGAAAGATGGGTAAGAGCATGGGCGGGGGGGGGGGGAGTGGGCTCGCGCGGGTCCTCGCCTTTGCTGCGACCGGGTGGGGTGGGTGGGAGCTCGCGGGCCAGGCCAGAGGGGCGAGGCGCGGTGGTCGCGGCCGCGTCCCGCGGCGGACTCTGAGGAACGCTGGCCCGCCTCCTGCGCGGCCCCGTCGCGCTCCCGAACTCCCGCTGCGCAGCCCTGTTGGGGCTGGGACTCCGCTCCCCGGGGCACCTCTGCGTCTCTGGGCCGCCTCTGCGGACCAGGGCTGGAGGAGGAGTTATAGGGTCAGGTCTCCCGGGGGGGTGCCGTGGGCTGGGAGGGCTTGGCTGGTGCATTTCCCGGTCCAGCCCTGGGGAGGTGACGGTCGTCGGGAAACTTCCAATCGGCGCCGCGCTTCCCCGGGCGGCCGTTTGAAACCTCGCCCGCGAGCACGTCGGGCGCTGGGGCACCTGATTCCTGGTCGACCCTTGGGTCTTACTCCCGGGTCGTCGCCACCTGGCCACGACCTCCACACTGGGGCCAACCAGCCGGTTGGCGTCGCGGCGCAGTTCTTGCTGTTCCTGGGGCACTCTTGGCTCCTTCCCCACAGTGCCTCACCTGCCTCTGATCTCGCAGTCTTACATTTGGAATTCTGCACCTTCCTCTTCTAGGAAGGGACCTTCTGATAGATGGTGTGTTTTGCAAGCGTTAACTTTCGAGTTCGCCCAGTTCTCTGGTATCCTTTTCCTCCTCTCCCCTTTGGGTATCTAGAGTGTTCTTCTGCCCTCCACTTTTCACCCTCTACCAAATGGCTCTATCAAATGGATGTGGTTTATTGAGGATCCATCCAGATTATCAACTACGGAATACGGAGTGACACAGAACTGGGCCTGAACCCTTGTTTTCCAGGGAGTTGAGAGTGAACGGTGGGACCCCCTTTGGAAGTCATTGTTTTAGCTGGCTTATGTTTTGAGAACGCCTGTCCTTCCTCCTGGAGGGCAGACAGGCAGGACAGGTGGAACCAGCTTCCTGTCTGCGAAGGGTAGGTTGAAACCTATCCTAGTCTCTGTCTCATCCTGGCGGGAATTTCCCTCCCCTAGGGTTTGGGAGCCCAAGTTCTAGTCCTTCTTGGTCAAACTATACAGAAGGGATTTATTTGTATTTTTTAGAATTGTAACACAACACTTTTAAATAAATAAATGGGTTATCAACCACAATGACATTAGTTAAGATTTGAATTGCTCGTTATCTTTTCTGGACTCTTGTAATTTGATATGTTTGGTTCAAGAAGTCTGGACCAAAGTAGGTAGGTGGTGTGCTTACCAATTTCATAAAAGGAGCAACAAAAAGCAACGTCATGAAGTGTTTTATCATGAAGTATTTTTACAAAATACTGTCCAAGTTTTAATTTTTTTTCATGTAATAGCTACCCAGGCCAGTAGTACTCAGTTGTTTCTAGTAACTTTTGCAGTTAATTATGAGGTGTCTTGGATATATATCGTGGAATTTAGAGTACTGAAATTGACTTGGACTTTGTTTTGGAATGTTCACTGTACTTGTTATACTGGTGTGCCTGTGAAACTCTTTATCAGATATATTTCAGGGAAGCTCAGTTCAGTTTTACTGTTTGGATATTGTTTTTACAAAGTAATTCTGAGGTTCTCCCTCCCATATTCGTCATGCAAACTTTATAATGTATTTTATCTAGAATTTTGAAATGTATTTTATTTTTTAAAGTAGCCTTTTAGCAGTCATTTTTTAGGGAAAGTTAAAAATTCTGTTTCTAAATTTCAAGAGGATAGTTTGGACAAAACAAAAAATATAATTTCTTCCTATTTATTAATAATTAATTAATTAATTAATTCTTTGAGACAGGTTCTGTCTCTTTGAGACAGTCTGGCCTTGAATTCACTTTGTAGCCCAGGCTATTCTCAAACTCATGATGATTCTCCTTAGCCTCCTGAGGGCTGGGATTACAGGTGTGCGCCATCATACTTGGCCTATTTATTATTTTTAAATATTCTCCCTCTATTAAAGTTCTTTCTTTGAATACAGTTCCTTCTTGAGTGAAATTTGTTAATTAGAATTAATAAAGGTTCTTTAAGATTTGGTTTTGTATTTTCAAAATAGAGTGCTTAAAAAGAAACTTTTGGAATCTGACAGGGTTAGTTCAAATCACTGTATTACATGTAAGAAAAAACTTAATAAAGGTTTTTTTTTTAAGAGCAGAAAAATTTATTGAGAATAGGAATAGGGAATAAGAATGGAGAATAAGAATAGCTCCTGAGATACAGGAGGGGTCCTGAATAGGTTGCCCTAATGAAGGGTTTTTTTACCCCTTTTGGATCAAGGGTCTGCTTGAAATTTGTGTCTTTACAATAAGCAATCTCTTGTTGGTTGGCAGTGAGATTAGCTTTATGTTCATTGCTAGAGACTTGAAATAACAAATATTTTTTTTTTGTTTTTGTTTCTTGAGACAGGGTCTCGTTATGCAGTTCAAGCTGACCTTGAACTCACTATGTAGCCGAGGCTGGCTTCAAACTTGCAGTGATCCTCCTGAGTGGTGGGATTACAGGCATGTGTCACCATGCCAGGCGCAAGAACAAAAATATTTTTAATGGTGGTTCTAAACTGTGATCCATACATGCATAGAAAAGGATTTTACACTCTGATCATTGTAAATTAGTTTACCTCCACAGGTTTCATTTTGATTAGCTCAGAAAAATGTGTAACACTGTTTTAAGGAGCAAGAGAGAAATCACATGGGTTGGTTAAAGAGAAATGTCTGGGAAATGTAATGTAGTGTATAGTCAAATTGTTCACATCTTTAGAAATACTGGACAGAATAACAAAATATCAATAAAAAAGCCTCTGCTTACACAGTAGTTCAATGCTACAGTTTATAAAATCTTAGCATGCTATTTCCCCTTAATTGGGACTTTAGGTTATAGTATGTTACGTAACTTTATAATAGGCTGGAAATGTAAGGGACTGTATCAGTTTTTCACTTTTTACTTTTCATTTGATATATAAGAACTGTACATATGTGTGGAGTACTGTGAGATGTTTCACTACAGGTAAATGATGTATAAAGTTTGGCAAGATAAACATTTTTTTTTTGGTGCCGGGGACTGAACTCGGGACCTTGCGCTTTCGAGACAGGCAGTGGAACCACTGAGCTAAATCCCCGGCCAGCATATCTTCTCAAATCTTTTCATTTGTGCTGAAAACATTAGAAACCCTTTTTGATAGCTTAATAGAAATATACATGAGAATTATTTATTTATAGGTTACTCTACTGTGCATTAGAACACCAGAACTTATTTCTCTAAAGGGTTTTTCACCTTCAATGAAAATGTCATTTGTTTACCTTTTTGTTTTGGAGGAACTCTGACCCCCTTTAAAAAAAAAAAAGGCTGAACAGTTATTTATTTACTTACTGTTGCTGGGGATTGAATGAACCTAGAGCCTTGTGCATGCTAAGCATGCACTCTATAACTGAACTATACCCCCAGCCCCAAAAGTTATTTTTAAAGAGAATAATATATCTGAACTTTTTAATATGACCAATAATTTGTAAAATAGTTTTTCCTTATTAATAGAAAGCCATACATAATTTATGGTTACAAATTTCAAGTCCTTATTTCTTCAGTTGGAAACATTTTATTTTTATTTTTATTATTTTTTGGGGGAAACATTTTTATTTACTTTCAATTTTGCAGTACTGGAGGTTGAACCAGTATTGCAAAAATGAAAGGCCTAAGGGCCTCAAGCATGCTGCACAAGTGCTATAACACTGAGCTATGTCCCTTGCCCCTTTTAAAATTTTATTTTGAGGCAGGGTCTCCCTAAATTGCCCAAGCTGTCCTCTGACCTGAAACTCTACTGCAGTTGTCTCCCACGCAACTGGTATTACAGGCAGGTGGCCATCACTCCTGACACGTTTTGACTGTTAAAAAGTTTTTTGTCTTTAAGAGGTTCAAACAAAATGACTCCATAGCATAGTACATTATGTCTGAAAACTGTTGTACCTAACAATACTACTGTTCAATTTCGCATACATTTAGTCTCTTGAATTGCTGCAACAAAAGAATCCTTTTTGGGTATGTGTTTTTCAAAGATACTTAGTAATTGAAAGTGAAATGGTTGACAGAGACATCTTACAGTTTCAGTTTTGTCTTAGGGTTTCAGATGAGTAGTTGGTGACTGTGTGTGGGTTTAGTTTTGGTACTGGGGATCAAACTCAGGTCCTTGCGCTTGTGAGGCAGGTGCGGTGCTACTGAGCTGAATCCCCAGCCCTGTGTCTGTTTTAATGTATATCATGAAGTCCTTCACAAATAAATGTACATATATGTTCTTGTGTTGAATTTCTGGAATCTTGACTATTACATGCCTTGGGGGAGATTTTTTTTTTTTTGATAACGGATAATTGGAGTTCTATATGCCTCACTTATGTGTATGCCAAATTCTTTTTCCCTGTTTGGGAAGTTTTCTGCCATTGCTTTTGTGAACAGGTTTTTTTTAATTTTTAATTTTTTTATGTCATTTGCAGTACCCCCTGCTTTTTCATTGACTCTGATCAAGCTTATGTTATTCTTCTTTGCATCATCTTGCAGCTGCTGGATTGATTTCTGGTGGTCCCTTGCTATTTTTAAGAAATCTTTCTTTTCATGATCACCAACCTCAATCCTGCCTTCTATATCTGATATTCTGTCCTCACATTGGATCATTCCACTGCATATACTTTCAGTGGAGTTTTTTTTTTTTTTTTTTTGGTGCCAGAGATCGAACTCGGGTCCTTGCACTTGTGCAGCAGGTGGTGAAACCACTGAGCTAAATCCCCGGCCCCTGAGTTTTTAATCTCTTGGATATCTGTTTGAATCTGTTTCTTGGATTCCATTTCTTTTCTTTGCTGAGTAGTCATAGTTATGTATCCATATGAATACATATGGATAAATAATAGGTAAAATAATATCTGCCTTTTTTTTTTTTAGTACTGGGGATCGAACTCGGGT